GGAGTTAGTAGATCTCTAATTGAGATACCGACCCAGTCTCTCTCTCTAGAGAGGTTTTCTCCCACCTACATGTAGTGATTTTGCAGGACTTCAGCTTTGACAGGGGGAGAGGGGCCCACTGTTCCTGTCTTCAAGCCGAGACTGGCAAAACTCGGTTTTGGTTTTGCGCCGTTGCAGCGTGCCTGCAGTAAGCTGACGTGCATACGGCCGTTTCGTATCTGGCCTGGTTTGTAGGGAACGTGCCCACCTGCATCGTTACTGCCGGCCATCTTTGGGGATGCTAGCTTGAGTGACCAGGCTTTTTGGTGTTGGACCACCTGGAGCGCGTTGCTCACTGGCACGATGGACCTTGCACGCGTTGCAGATGTTTTATCCTGTAGGTCCCGGCAGTGGCTATTCTGGAAGGAGAGGAGAAACGCAAAGCGTGGCAACTTTCTTTAAGAGAAAAGCCAGTTGAACTTGGTGGTGTGGCCGGAGGTTGGCTTCGAGCTCTTGAGGCAACAGGAGAGCAGTCGGGATCGAACAGGAGAGCAGCCAGCGTAACCTGAATCCACACGTGCAGCAGGACAAAATGTAGCTGCGATTTCATGGAGAATCTTGATTCCGACTTGTTTATTGTGGCAGTTGTTCACTTCGAAAAATTCAAGTGTTAAACCCTTCTCCTTTTTCAAATGTAGCATCTCTGTTTTGTTCTAGTTGCCTGCTTATGACTCATCATAACTTTAACTTCCTGAAGAAAACTGAAAGCTTGAGGGAATTAGATGCATGTTTCTATTTCTAATATGCTACTATTGAATACAAAATAAGAAGGAAAATGTACGAGGAGTGAACATCAACATGGCTTTTAATGGCATGATAGCTTTTTTTTTTTGACTAAAACATCCTGGTTAATGAAAGCTTACTGTGATAAGCATAGAGCTTGTTGAGTGTTGGAAAACCTGCCTTACAGGGAAATTGCCTGGGGTTTTTTAGTAGTGTTCTTCATCTGCCCCTATATTTCACTGAAATAGATGCAGGGGAAGAAATAATTCAGTAAAACCTGACGTTCATCAACAGGCTTCTACTGCATTATAGTCCCAAATGCAAGTTAATTTGTCTGGTTTTAGTAGATTTGGTGCTAGTGTCACGCCCTGACCTGGCATGAAGCAGAAGAGTCCCAGTAAAATTTGGTCCAAAATCTGTATTGGATATAAAGATCTGTTTCTTCACAGCCTTCTGTCCTCTCGATCCTTGTGGCAGGTATTGGACTCTGGGCATTGCTTCACCTGCCCAGAGACGTGGAGAGGCAGTTTACAATGTATGAGGGTCTAAAATGTTATGTTACTTTGGGATATTCTCTGTTTAGAGATAACCCCATGGAGAGCGGGAAGGATGAGCAATTTCTAAACCAAGTTTGGGGAAAATGGGGCAAATACAGATACTTGAGTCAAGTGCTGTGGGTCTTAATCTGCCAGAAGTCTTCTGTGGCCAGAGGGAGGTGGCCTTCTAGGAGAGGAAAGAGACAAAAGCTTTCCTCTCTGACCCGGACAGCACTAGCTGAGCGTGGTGGTTCACTCTCCCTCCTTTTGCATGTCCGACCAGCTGTTTTTGTAAGAAACGCGTATTTTCGTATGCCGTGAACGGGTGTTGATACCTGTGCAAAATTGTCCTGGTGCAGTGCAGCATGCCAGCATCAGTGTCTGCTCTGCGAACCTACTGCAGTGCTTAGGTCAGCTGTGGCCGAGAGCTTTGTCTTTCCAAGTCCCGCGGAACTGCTGACTTAGGATACAAGGCTAAAGCAACACAGATTATTTGCCCTTGTGAGATGGAGCTTGAGAGAGGATGTGGTCAATGTCTGTGAGCACATCTGGAGGCAAACAGGAAAGGCTACTTAAGCTAAAAGACGATGCTGGCTAAAAAAAGGGGGGGCAGTGTGAGCTACACATATGTTCGGGCTGTCGGTTTGGAGATGGTTCCTGACCACCAGAGGAAGGAGATTCTGCACCTGCTTAGAAGAGTAAGGGGTAAAAATACTGCAACTGTTTTTAGGATAGAAGTCAATGTATTTGTGTGAATAACTTGCATGTGGTGATGCAGGCAGTAGCAGGGATTGTGTGCAATGGCCCAAGAAGTCCTTGTGTGTTCCTGCTGTCTTAAATGAACCGTTGCAGAACATAGAGCAAGCTGATATGTCCATAAGTGTGTGTACACATGTAGATGTATGATGTCTATAATGTGTGTGGTTATATTCTATAAAATATATAAAGAGGCAGTTCCTGTACCTCATCTATTAAGAATTGGTTAGCTACAATATCATTTTTAAATGACTGGATTTTTGGTGTGTACAGAGCTAACGAATATTCATAATTTTTGCACATTCTAATTTTAGCCACCTAGAGTGTTCATTACAGGACATACACATAATTAAACAGCCTTCTTGAGAGTTCACAAGCTGTCCTGCTCACTATTTACAGGTCTGAAATGATCAAAATATTTTTTAAAATGATCCTGTAAAGCTATATCGGGCTAGAAAGACAATATAATAAAATGTCCTTCTCGTAATCTTAATGTTTTGTGGTGGACCCAGATTCTGAACTGTGGTCTCCTGCGTGTGATTCAGTGAGGCCAAGAGCAACTTCTTTCTGTGGAGTATTTGTGCACTTTGCATGGGCTGGGCTCAAATTCCGTGGGACGTGACCCACATCCATCAACAGCAGCTGGTGCCCAAACGGACCTTTGAAGCGTTTTAATGCCTAATTTCAAAAAGAATCTGTTTTTTGCTAAGTCGCAGTAAAGATGATGGTAGTTCTTTTTAATAGCATCCTAATTTCTCCACTTCAGGCGTACCTTGTGTTCACATACTATCTGTGGTGTTCGCTACATCTGTCTAGCACAATATTACTTGGGTTTGAGGGTAGTAGGGGACCTGTGGAGAGCAGAAACCTGGCTAAAGCGAGCAGCAAGGAGCAGTCCCAGGCAGAATAAGCCCAGGTGTTGGGCTTCTCCTCCCCAGCAGGTGCTCTGATGCCTGTGTGTGCACCCCTGACTCCCCGATCCCCGGCCCGGGAAGCTGGGCTCCTGCGGGATGCGTGTGCGAGCCGGGCTCCTCCGTGGCAGGCAGGGCCGTGCCCCTGTGGGGTCGGTGGCACGTGGCCTCGTGCACGCTGAGCCCGGACGCCCACCGACGCCCCCCGTCGCACACGCAAACAGCCCCCGAGTGCCAGCCCAGGGAGGGCTCCAGCTCACTGAAATGCGCATTTGCTGATCTGAAGGCAGAGTGCAGTACATGTGTTACTTTAGAAATATGACCATTTTTGCTGTTTAAAGCAAGTACTTTTAAAAATTCTTCCTACTTGCCCTTATCTGGACTTGCAGCTTCCCAACTCAGTGGCTTTTCTTCAAGCTGTGCCAGCTTGTGTAAACAAAAGCAGACCAGCTTTTGCTTCCCTGGGGCCTTCACTGCTGGGGCAGGAGACGGGGATGCGAGAGACCCACAGCAAGGCCTGCGCCAGCTGGGTGGTGCTGAGCACAAAGACCGGCCGTGTGCGGAGCAGAACAGGGACAGAGTCTGGCCAACGTGTGCTCAGTGTCCTGTATTTTTTTTAAAGCACCAATGATACACACGCAGAGGACATCCAGCTCCCTTTATATAAATGTCTTGTTTTATTAAAACTAGTATTTTCACTCAAGATTTTAAGGAATCCTTTATTTCATGTGAACAGAACCATCTCGCAGCAGGGCAGCCCCTTCGGTTATGGGGTTTAACCATCTCCGAGCTGCTCCAGCGGCTCCTGCCTGTGGGCAGGACCACGAGGCCTGCCGACAATCCTGCACCGCGCTCCCTCCGCACCGCACACATGGCCCAGCGTGGGGTGAAACCAACAGCCGGGAGCCGCAGTGAGTTAGGAATAAAATGTGCGTCGCCGCTGAGGGTGGCTCTGCAGAGCAACAATAAGGAGCGCCGTGTTTCTCAGGCTGGCCTGCCCTCGGCCTTCCTCCGGGGAGGGGAGGTGGGATCCTGTGCGTGCTGGGGCTGGCAGGGCTGGTCTGATCCCCCTTGCCCCCGCTGCCCGGGTGGTCTGGGCTCACATCGGTGCTGCCCAGCCATGGCCACTTCTAGCCCCGAGTGCACTGAGCGCAGTGACATTTGGCCCTGGCGTCTCCCCGGACCCACCATGACTCTCTCAGCACAGGGACGGAGGTGCAGAAACCTGGGCTGAGCCCCTGGCATGGGCGGCAGCCCCTCCTCTCCCACCCTTCTGGGGCCTCCTCCACGCCCCTGGGGCCAGGTCTTGGGTCTGTTTGGGACTGGTGACACACAGGGATTTCCACTGCCAGCCTTGATGAATTTCTGTTTCCTCCTCTGGGTCTCAGCTATGCACCTCACCGCGGGGGGATGCTGCAGCTGCCCACCTCCCTGCAGAGCTCGTGTGGCCCTGGGCCATGCTGTTCCTGCAGGGAAGCCTGGGGTCCTGAAGCACCTCTCTGCCCAGTGTCCAGGGCGCCTTCGCCCACTGGTGCTTTTCTCCCTCTGCACCTCTGGCACCACTGTGGCAGGTGACCTGACCAGCAAACCCAGGAGAAGGGAGCTACTGGGCTATACTAAGAAGAAAGCAACTGATTTTCTTAAATGCTCAGACGAAAATTGTTGATCAGCATTAAGAATTTTTTTTTCCCCTCCCCCTTTATGTCCGTACATTTCCAGCTTAGTTGCTGTGAAAACAGAAGCAGCCCCTGGCAGGACTGTGAGGGCAGCGGGGTGAGGGCAGGATGCCCGCCGCAGAAGCAGGGGTGCTCTGCTGTGAAGTTCTGAGCCGCTTGTGCAGAGGGCCACACACAGGTAGACACTAATAGCTTTTTGCCTTGGTTTGTAACCCAATTTCCATCCTTCATTGCTTGCCTTCTGGAGCACTTAGTGCCCTGAAGAACACCCAAGAGCGGAGTGAATTTGCACTTCTCAGCAGACTCCACAAGTATCTTTGCTTTAACTGCTATAAAGCTCTGGCTTTTTGGGGTTTTGTTTTGGGTTTTTTTGTTTGTTTGTTTGTTTAAGGAAAAATTCTTTTATTTTAAACCACAGAGTGCTACCAGGCTGTCATCTTGGCACATACTCTCTGGGCAGCCCTGTGAAGTTTCTTCCCCTCAGGGCTTCGTCCACTGTCAGGATGTATCTGTTGATAAGATCTTTCATTTCCTGGGTGAATGGCTCAAAATCCTTCTGCTTAGCACCAGACCGCTTGAAATTCCCATCCCTGTTGTTCTCCACGCAGAGCAGTCGGTCCTCTGTCACGGTCATGTTCAGAAACTCCACCATTTCCTTCAGCTTGGGGATGAGGCTCTGCTTCAGGTCCTCGTAGTGGATGACAAGCAGGCGCTTCCCGTACTTCAGCCAGTCCAGGACGTGGGAGGCCCACCAGGAGGCATAGCTGTTGACGAAATCGGGCCACTCTAAATGACCGGAAAACCAGGAAAATGAGACAATGTTAGCCATGCTGCGTTTCAACAGCTTTCTGAACGTTGTCTTGTGCAACAAGACCGGCGTTGCTGGGCATGGTCTGGTGTTGCTGGATGGGCACACTGCAGAAGCGCGGCGTGGCCGGCGCTGGGGTACGGCAGCTTGGCTTTGCAGCTTCTGGCATGGAGGCAGATGCTGCCCAGCGGTGGCTGCCCCCTGGTCACCCGGGCCGTGAGGGCTGGGAGTGCCGCCGAGCTGCCGAGGAAGCCCAGGGAGGGACAGGGCATGGCAGTGGCCCCGTGGGCAGCTTTGCATCTTTCCTGTGCCTTGTTTATAGGAGTTGAGCTCTCCGTGCACGCCAGCGGTGAGCGCACCGAGCAGGCGGCTCCCTGCCGGAGGGCAAACACCCCTGGGGAAGGGTTTGAATGCCAGCCAAGGGGTATGAGCAGGGAAGGCAGCGGGTGGTGGCTTAAGCAATGTTTGGCATGTAACTTCAAGCAGATTCTGTCGCTTCTGTGGTTTTCCTACACTTTTACCTCCATTTCAGATGTAAACTGAGAGACAGGTTTATTTTTTAATACACATGTAAACAAATAATATATTAACTTTGTATTATGTAAATGCAGCATCAAGACACTGATCTTGGCTGGGCCCCAAGGTGTTACTGACTACCAAATCTGTCGAATAACACATCTTTCTGCATGCTTACCAGCCTGCTTATGGGGAGACTGGATAAGGAAATAGGATTAATAGGGAAGATTCTTCTGTGCTTGGCACAGGGGAGGGATTTAAGGTCACCTGCCAGGATCACTGGGACAAAATTTGCTGAATAATTTTCCCGCCTTTGCCTTGGGCATTAATGACACCTCAATCTCGATTTGCTGTCTGTGATAATTTAATTTTCGGAGGGTCAAGGTAGTCCTAGCTAAAGCTTTTGGGCTGGGCAAAGAGCATTTGTGGCTGAAACGGAACAATTTGTAGTCTGCAGTACAGGAAAGCTGTTCCCTGCATTTTCCTTTTTTTTCTAAGGGCTATTTTGTTTGGATTTTGATGAGTGGGTCTTAAGTTGCGACTGATGAAAGGTGATACCTGAACTTGATAAGAAACATGCTGTGGCACGGGACGCTTCCCTCCAGCCCCCTCCCGCCTGGTGCTACGTGCTTTGCCAAGCCACAGCTGTAATGCCTAAAATACGCATGGGGAGGAATGCAAGCCGAATCTCTTCTCTGCTGCAGAGTCTGAATGCAGTAGTGTATTCAGTAGGGAAATTGTAGTCAGACCATCCAGCTTGCCAGTCAAATGCATGAAGCGTGGCAGGCATATTCTGAAGTCTTTTCATGTGTTCAAGGAACACTGGATCTCAAGTCCCCTTACTGCTATTATCCTTATTTATCTGCAGTGCAGCAGCACCTGTGCAGTGCTGTAAAATTTCCTTCAGGAAATGTCATGCTCCATTTAATCCTCCAAATCTTAAATTAGATTTCTCACGGTTATTACATGCTGCAGGGGCAAATTTTCTTCACCTCACATAGCTTGGCAAACAGGCTCTATGCAGGGGTGTTGCACCCGGACGTGCTTTCTCTGCCAAACAGTATGCTGGCAGCACTGTTGCCGCACTCTCTGCGGCCACAGCATTGGTGCTGCGCCACCCTCCTCTCCACGGGGGTGGATGTATGGCAAGCGTACAGCCCCTCCCAAAGTGCAGATCTGACTGCTTTTGGGAGTGGTCTTGGCTGCAATGGGACTTGGGTCCCACTGAATATTTTTGCATTCCTATTGCATTCCCCCCTGCCCAGCATGCTGGGAAGACAGGTTCCCAACTCTGTCCCAAGCAGCAGAGGGCACCCCCAGCCCGAACTGGGGGCGGCGCGTTACCTTTGCTCTTCCAGTTGCGGTCGGTGGCGTACCCCAGGTGTCCGGCGTATTTCCTGTTGAACTCTGCCATCAGCGACTTGTACGGGTTCCTTATCAACAGGATCGCCGAGTCGAACATTTCAATCTCCGTCTTGCCACTTTCATGTGTTTTCACACAGATGGTCCTTCTGCTTCTCCAGTGGTCTTTTTCTCCTTTAAAACCTGTTTTACAAGACAGGATTGTTGGCTGTTGCACTGGATTGTATGTCTGTGCCTTTTCACACTCTAAATCATTCCCTACAGTGGTGTAAAACTGTTGTGAAAGCACCAGTCGATTCAACCCATGGCTGAAGCCCCAGTGTGTGCTGGGAGCCAGGCTTTCCTCTGCTGCAGAGGGCTTTGTCGGCCCCTTGCCGCAAAAGGCTGTTTTTCACAGGGCCAATGCTTGGTGCTTTCTAAATATCATGCCCCCTCAGGATGCTGTCCTCCCAGAATAATCAGCAACTTTTAAAAATTTAACCCTCATGTTTCATGTGCTACTAAAGGGTCTTACCCTCAGGGTTTAGTCAACTTTGTTTTAGTCAGCTAGTCTTTCAGAGCAGCCTTTTAGATGGGAGCTGCACATGTCCATGTGCACAGCAGCACCGATGCAGGCGACGTGCAAATTTTGCAAATCAGGAGCCTGGCTCTTGTCTGTGAAAGCAGCTGCCTGTCGGGCTCGGCGCACTGCTGGAGCAGTCCCCGCTGCTGTCTGCACCACGTGAGACTGCTCGTTCCAGACGCGTGTTTAAATTTTACCAAACGTGCTGACAGTGACAGCCTTTGCTGGCTCCAAGCAGAAGGATGCCAGTGCGAGTAAATAAAGATTCGTGCCTCGGAAGGCCTTTGTGTGCCCCAGCCCTCTGGACACGGTACCTTTGTTGTAGAGGGCTCCATCGAAGTAATAGCTCCCTGTGTAGTATCCTGTGGCGTGCTCTATCAGATGGCGAGCCCATGTATTCCCAGCGCCAGGAAAGCTCGACAGAGCAACGAACACTTTGGATTTGGTGGTTAAGAATTTCCTGTCCGTGCAGCGGGTGTCTGCGAGTACAGAATATATTTCATTGTTAGCATTGTGGCTTTTTAATAATTCCACTGACAGCTCTTGATTACAGGGTTTATTGCTTCTCTCTCTTATGAATATAGGATGTCAATTTGAGTCCGGTTGTGAGTCAGCTACTTCCCAAAATTAATTCAGCCATAAGAGGCCAAAGAGATTATCCTCAGAAGAGCTTTTTGCTGGTTTTGTGTTAGGCAACGCTTTTTTGATAGAGCTGCGGCAAACCATTGTACTTGCCAGCAAGTTGTGATAAAAGCCCCTTGATGCCCGTTTGTTAGTGGCTGTTTGCCTGGCAGGTTGGCCCTTCGGTGAAACCCTGCGTGTGCCGTTACACCTGGAAACGGTGAGTTTTAAGGCGCAGGAGAAACCCCTCCTCCGGAAAGGAGCTGGTGCTCAGGTAAACCTCTGCGCTGTCGTTCCTCTTCGACGGGCCCAAGGCAGTGACGAGCCCACACTGCGCTAACCTCCCATGAGGGCTGGGCACCTGGTTTCCATACGTGCTTTCGTGAATCCTAGCCTTACTCCTTAGCGTGCCAGTAAAAGCAAGGGTAGGATGAGAACCAATCTTGACCCTCTGGGATGATTCAACAAAAAGCCAGGAAATAAATTAGAAATTACTCTCGTCATTCTTCAGAGCAGCCTCTAGATGAAGCCTTGGCTAGAAAGGGCCAGCACCGTCCAGAGGAGGCTGTCTTCTGCTACTGCTGATCTACACAGATGTGGGAAGTACTAGCGATTTCATGAAAGCAAGCATTACTCTTGCATGATCTTTTAAAGTGCTGGTGTCTGCAGTCTACCTTTGGGAGATGGAGGAAAAGGAAGGGTGTTGGGTTAAAAAAAGCCCAGCACCAATATAGAAAAAGCACTTAATTTGTTTATTTATTTAAATTTAAGCTTGTGAGAAGTCTCACTGAACTCAGTGCAAATCATTGCATGGATAAAGTTGCCAGTGCCACCTAAATGGTTTACTGGATTGGAGCCTTACTCTCTGCTTTACTTTCTGGCTTTGAAACATGTATGCAGATGAATATTTTAGAGGAAGATGGGTAGAGCAAAATTAAAGTCTGCAGAGCTGCCTCGGTGGCTGAGTAACCTGGGGGCCGGGTGTGTGTTTAGCGAGCAGATGTGGAAGCAGAGTATGGGGTCCTCGTCCCTGGCTGCCCGGGGTGCTGCATGGCTCAGGCAGGGTATGCCTCCCCGCGTGTGCCTTGTTCTCTCCATCTGCAAAACCGTTATTTTTCCAGGGTGCAGGGAGGCTGTGCTGCTTAACGGGAATGGAAAGATGCCTGTTTACAAGTGCGATGGCAAGGGGGGGATTTAGACAAGGGGTGTTTCCTAAATTCCTGCCTGTATTGTGATACCAGCCATTGTGGCTAAGACCGCTGTAAGCTAGATCACCACTGTGGAAGGGCCGCAGGGGCTGTTTCCAGCAGTGGTGGGTCTGGCCCTGGCACAACGAGGCTGGAGCTCGTACCTTGCACCGGCGTCTGATAAACCAGGCAGTATTTTCCCTCGGCGACGCTGCTGGCGTTGTGCATGCCGCTGCAGAGCAGCCTGTCTGCGCCGTCGCGCAGCGAGAAGCGCCCGGTGGGGTAGCCGCAGTAGCACTCCCGCCCTCGGATGACTGCCAAGGGAAACTCCTACGAAAGAGAGAAAATAGATCAGTGCGTAAATGCCACGGCATCAACAGCCTGCGGGGAACGCTGCTGCTGTACAAAATAAAATAAATCTTCACAAGGCCACTGTCAAGATCAAAGCAGCGTTTGATGTATCGCTGTAAAGCTCATGCTTCTTATACTACTACTGTCTTTCATACGGCAGTGTCTTAAAAATCGGTTTTCAGACGCAAGCCTTGTAAAGCTTGACAATTCACAATATTCTGCGTTTTTTCATTATTCATAAATATAATCGTATAATATTCCACCTGCAAAACATCAGTATGGGAAAAGTTCTTATTTACCGCCAAAATGAGCATTTTGAATTGGATGTTCTTTCAAACTTCCACTTATATTTGCACAGACTGAGTTGTCGGCTGTTAAAAGGTTTGCCTAATTCAGTTGATTTTACTTGAGTTTGTGTGGAGGAAACTTGCCCTTAAACTTAAAGAATTTAAGAAAAGAAGAAAATTTATACCCGCTAACTGCTGCAATCATGTTTAAAAATAGAAAGAAAAAAGTCAAGCCATAAAAAAGGTATGTATCTTAGTCTGACTTCTTCACAGTTTGCAAAAAATGAATGTGCATAGAGGAGCCGATAAAGGGTTTGAGAGCTAATGTGTGTATCTTTGGAAAAACTACTTAGAAATAGAACGCCAAGTACTTTTTGGCACATCTGTTGAGAGGACTGGGCTGATGGCGAACGTGGGGCTGCCCCAGGAGCAGTGAGGCTGGGCTAATATTGGTGAGAATTAAGAGAAGCTTGAGGGGAAACGTGTGCTAATTATTTCCTGAAGAAGTTGGTGGTTGTTTATGCGCTCAATAGGAAAAGCACATTTCCTACTTTGCTGAAGCTGTCCCTAAAATTCAGTCTTTCTCGTCTTTGCCAGGAGGACTGGGGTTGATTTTTCCTTGGGTTTCCAAAGTCCCAACGGCTTGCTCAGCGGCGCAGGGGTGCGCTGGTGTGCAGGGACGGGCTTGGCATGGCCACAGAATGGCTGAAGGAAGCTCGGGGGTTATTCGGGCGCAGAGCATTCAATTCCATCTATTTGATATCAACACTTTTTGCCTTTTAAAAGTCTTTTGGAGTCTGGAAGTGCGTGACAGGACTGTTGAGGAGCTTATCTCTCACTCTTCCCCACGTGTTCATCCTCTGATAAGGAGTCAAATACAACACATGTGCCATCTGTGCCCAAAGAGCCAACATTTGCTTAGCGAATGAGATATGACATTGTCAAAAAGTATTTACAGATTTGATCCAAGGGCAAAATAGTTCTGTTTCTGCCTGCAAACAGAAATTTTTCCTTTACAATGAAGCAGTGTTTCTCCGTTTGAGAAATTAATAAGTGTCCTGGTCCTCAAACACAGCCTAGAATAGAAATGTACCATGTACCTCGTGCTAAGTGGCACCTGCAGGTGATTGACTTTTCTAGAAGGCTGGAGGTTTTGGCTGACAGAGACCTAAGCAAATGCTTCTCCGTACTTCTGCGTCTGTGCTGGGTGACAGGGAGCCGCTCTGCGGTGGTGCGGGGTGCCCGGCCCGGCCGGAGGCAGGGCGGTCGGCCTGACCTCGCCGCTGCAGCCCTCCTCCTGCTCGGGCAGCACGTGGTTGGAGGAAGGAGGGAAACGGGGAGCGGGCTTCCCAAGTTCAAAGTTTCAGTGCTGGCAGCACAGGCGTCGAAAGAAGCAGGACAGCAGTTCTGGGGATCGCACCAGGATGCACAGCGTCGGTGCAGCGGGCTGCAATCAGCCGGCCGATGATTCGGGCGCTCCGTCTCCTTGGTGCAGCGCAGAGTGATTGCAAAGTAACGTATTCCATCTTGACTTCCCGTCAGTATCTAATCAGAACTACAAACCATTCACTGTGCTCACCTGCGTGCTTACCTGTGCCCCAAGCTGTGGTTAAGGCTTTAAGCAACCATGTAACTTAAGTGCAGGGCCAATCCTCGAGCTCAGCGCACACTAATCTGCAATGCTTCAGTGAAACACAAGCATATTGCCAGAGAAATCTGCAGGTCCGTGAACAAGCATTTTTCTGGATTGAGCTTTAGAGCATGCATTGGCAGGCTCAGGTGTCCATCCTGCAAGCTGTAACTCAGTGAGAGTTGATGTCAATGGGACTATTTACCTAAGAATTTGTAAGATGAAGCCTCAACAGGTAGTTTAAGTGCTGTAAGGAAAGCAGTCATTCTCCAGTTGCAACACAGATGATGTGGTGATTCAATCACTGATTGTTTTCTATTAGATTGTAGCCAAATTAAGAATTATGAGCAGATTAAAAATACACTTAATCTTGTTCTACTCTCATTACTCTGCTAAATTCCTTTCTTTTCCAACTTCCTATACTAACTCTCCTATCTGACGCGGTTAAAATTTTTCTCTCGAGCTACCAAAAAGAATAAGGGGGGGGTGGGGGGTGGGGGCTAATCGAAAGGAAATTTCTCTCCCAAGTAGAAATGATGTGTTTGGTTCATTTAAAAATGGGCATATTTGTTTTGCAACAAACCTAGAAGTCATTCTTCAAGTTTTCATTGAACTGGGTAAGCTAAGAGCAAAGAATAAATGCCATAGAGCCAATCACGCCCTTGTATAATAATTCTGGTTTGTTTTGCACTGTGATCTGTTGAGGCCAGGGGACAGTTCCTCAGTGCGGTGTTATGCCCAACATGACCCTGATTTGAAATACTCCTCTCACTGCTGCAATGAAGTCAGCGAGGCTGTGATTATCTGCGCCAGTTGAGGTTCTGGCCTACTTATCTTTGGTTCATTGTGTTTTAAAAAATTATCTCAATGAAGCTATGGAAACAATCTATATGAATTCTACAATGGGATTTGGATCAAAATTCCAGGAGTCTTTTGTTTATGGGTAAATAATGGCATGTAGCTACATCTGGAATCCAAAATAGCAGGTCTGTTTTTGAAATTAGAAGATTGCTGTATTCTGTGTATTGCTTTATAAAGAAGAGAAAAACACCTCCGAGTTTGTAACGTTCAAGTGTGGAAACTTGCTGGCATGGCTTTTGGGTGCATTGAGATACTGGGGCGTTCTCCTCAAGACTTCGTGTTCTTCCAGGTTTTATTCATACCTTCATATATAACTGCATACAGCAGCTGAGCAGTAAAAGGACTGTTTATATAAAACACAAATTCAAATGGAGACGGCTCATTTAGTATGCAGGCTGACTTATAAAAGAGCATATAGGAAAACTATGGCTGCTGGCCAAGGGACCTACCACAGAAACACATTCATGGAACAGTGTATGGGGTGATAATGGGTTGCTACTAAGCCGTGACATCACTTTCTTAATTAAGAAAGAAATTGATAATTAAGGGTATTTAACAGGTTTCATCTGAAGTTGTTACCTCAAATTCCTATCTCAAATGCTTCTGAGTGCTGGAGCTACCATTTCAGCTGCACAAAGCAATTGCAAGGCTAACAAATAGACATGGTATGCCCCAATTTGCTTTTCTTCTAAGTTCCAAAGAATGAGAAAGACTTATTCATGTGTTTAACTTTAAGCATCCAACTAGTTGTGTTTAAAACCCCGCTAGATTTTTCAGGACACATAGAAATTGAAGGGTAGTTCCTTTCGGCATAACAGGCTGCACTAAAATGACAATGCCTTCCTGATTTCAGGAGGGCTAAGTATGTTGCTGTCAGCTAGAAAGCTGTGCATCTTATTTTGCAGGGAACGGAACCAAAGTCGGGGACAAACACCTGTAGGGTCGTAACAGACTTGTTTTGGTATCTAGAGTTAAAGCACCAGTTGGGGTGTAACAGTTGGACTCGTGGATATGCAATTGCTGCTGCTTAAGTGGGGGGAGACCTTGCCAGTCTTTTTGTGGGCAAATACTCCCTAGCAGTCACTTTCCAAAGGGTAGCATGGTGCAGAGCTAAAGGTGTGTGTGTGGAGGATAAGCAGGTTGTTACCTGCACCATTTTAGGGAAGGAATACATGAGAGAGGTACCAAACCTTTTCTTCAGCTTCCTTCAGTACCTTTCCCTCTTAATGTTATCATTTCTGCAGCCCTCTCCATGCCCTCTACACAGACTCTGTTAAGATACTCCTTCAGAATGTATGGTTTGCTGATGGCTTTCTCACACAAGCTTCATCAAGCAAATATGCATTGGCTCTACCTCTGAAAAGGCACTAGCTGTTTGCAGAGATGGAGGGTTTCCTCCATCCTGCTGCTCTCCTCTGTCCTAGTCCTGTTCGACAGTCATGCTAATGTGGTACATTTTGGTTGTCGTCTTCTTCCTATCCTTCTCAGTCACCAGTAATTTCAGGTGCTTCCACTATTTGGCTGCACGGTCAGAAAACCTTGAAGAAACTATACCTCTGAAAACCCACTTATTTAGAAAAGTCATCTCCCAGAACCAGAATGGCATGACTGTGCTTAAAAACATTGACCTCATGTTTGAGCACATCTGAAAACAACTTCTCCAGATATTTCATACCATTCTCCCAGATAGAGAAACAATAGTTAATTGCACTTCATCGGTAAATATTAATAAAATGATGTTCATGTGGGTAAACTGACACAGAAAGATCAAGATTTTTTTCCACCATTAAACAATAGTTTATTGGCAGAGCTTGCAAAGAATTGCTCATGAAGTCCCATGCATAGAGGACGTGAGAGTGTGTTTGTATGCATGTTTGTAAGGCACTACACACAGGGTATGTGGGTGATTCCCTGCAATTCGCTGCAAAGAGTTAATTTCATGAGGCATTCTTAAAACAGTGATGAGCTCCTATAGAGGATACAGTGCCTGGGAACAGCTTTTTCACTCTACCTAGTAATTAAGAAGATTTGTTGCTCCTGCCTTAATAGTTTTAATCAATTTTGTTAATTTCAAAGTAATTGAATGTTCAGTGTAGTGCATGAGGCTGAATGTGGCTGCTGGCTAAATCTGACCAGGCAGCAAACCCTATTCTGTACAGAAGAGTGGGGAGGGAGGGAAGGGAACCAACTGCAGCAGCAGCCACTAAAGCAGGGGGTGCCTGGGGCCAACTGTTCCCTCCTGTGAGGATCCCCAAGTCCATCAAAGTCAAACTCCTTCAGTTCTTACAGCCCTGTGGTGAGTGTGGAGGAGCGAGGGTGATGCCTCAGGGCACGAGCGTGCACAAGGACAGCAGATGTTAGCGTGTCCCTTCGCGCCTTCTGTCCAAAAGCCAACGAGAGTGCAACTGACCTTATTTGTTGCTTTCTTTTAGTCGTATATATCGGGCATGAAGTTCTACAATGATTCCATTTTAATTTAAAATAAATTATATTTAAATTACATAGGTTTTATAGGGAAAGGGGTATAAATTCTGGTGTGGAAACAGACAGATTTGTATAAAAGTACCAGGAGAGTCCACCTGCTTTCAGTGCGCTTATCGCTTGAAATTTTTCTCTGGCAGCTTTTTTTTCTTTTTTATATTTAAGATTGTATCACATTCCTAGCCCACACAGTTACACGCTGGTATAAAAATCGTGTGTAGGTATCTCGGCAT